CAGATGTGGTAGCCGCCTCAAGTCCCTGCTTATCGGCTCCAGCAGAGTCGACCGCGTCCGCTGAAAGTCCCCCGCAGTCTCCGTTTGACACCGACACTTCTCGCTGAGTCTTGCCGTCCTCCTCGCCTGCTTTCTCCCCAGCGGTCGGCGAGAGCAGCCCGCAGTTCTCAGTAAACTCCGCCATGAGCGTAAATGAACACAGAGCACGGTGGGAATCGGCAGTTCACTTCACGCTGGCTAATATATCGATTCAAGTATTGCGCAATGAAATCGCCCGAAGTGGCATCCAGCGGCAGGGTGGTGGGCTGTTAACGTTACCTCTCGTCCATGTTTTCTCGGCGGCGGCAGCAGCATCTGTCTCGACTCCATGCAGAATATTTCACCGTTGTAAAGCCTCATTGTTCAGCATCACATCCAGGACGGGTCCCCCCCGCTTCCTCCCTGCCATAACACTGCCATCTGCTGAATTAATGTTAGTGCAGCATTAAAAAAGAGAAGTCGTCTGTTTCCTGACGAGCCTTTAAGTTGTCTTCCTATTCGCCAGCTTCTTGTTCGAATTATCCCGTTCCACCTTATACGGTTCCTGTCGCCACCAATGACCAATTCTGACTCGGACTTTGTTTACTTCTTATTTTACTTACGGAGAAATTTAGAAAAGTCGGTGGCATTGCCCTTTAAGTTAATGTTATCTCGGGCCTCAAGCGCCAGAGTGTAACTGCTGCACCATTTAAGGTGGAACGGGGGGGAAATGCGAACAAGAAGCTGACGAGTGAGCTGACTTCAGCTTCTTTTTTTTCCTGGGAATCAAAAAAGAACATAAACATGAACCGAGCGGCAAGCTATTAAAGGGGGATTCCACCAGTTTTTTTTTAATTCTGTATATTTCAGTGGTTGGGATATAAACAAAGTCATTCAGAGTGGTATCTCTCAACTATTAATAGTTTTTAAAGTACATCGTAGCGCAAAAGTATCTCAAAACTGTCAGAGAACAATGTCTCAGACATCAGGCAGCGTATTCATAACCACTGCATGTCTAACTTTCTGTGAGGGAGCTTTTAGAGGTGGACGTCTGGTTCCTATCACCACCACTGAGAACAATTCTGACTCGGCAAGTTTCTCTAGAACGGCGCATTTCACATCAAACCACTCTGAATAATTTGGTTTGCATTTTAATCCTTTAATTATGTGGAATTTTCCGAAAAATCGGTGGAGTTCTCCTTTGAGTTAATGCTATCTCGGCTCTGTTCGTCTGTAGGTTGTGTGTACCCTACCTAGCTGCACACAGTTCTCTGCTGCAACGTTAAAACGTTTTTGTTAGCCTAAACGAGGCGAAGCTTAAGTCAGCAGCTTCTTGTTCGAATTTCCCGTTCCATCTTAAACAGTGAGGCGCCCGAATGTAACTGCTGCACCATTTAAGGTGGAACGGGAAATAACAAGCTGGCGAATAGGAAGCAAACTTCAGCCTCGTGTAAATGAGAGTACAGTGCGTTGTTATACAGACAAGCTGTCTTTATAAAACTCGTTAATCAGCCAGCTGTTCATCTCAATGTTAACGTTAGATACTTACTAACTTCTCCGTCTAACTTAGCCTAACATTCGTTGGCTAGCGATAACTACGTAGCTTAAAGGCTAAGCTAGTCAACAGCATACTAGTCTGTCAGACAAGGCAATTTCTACTAAGTGGGCTGACTACTAACTTACGAGGCGATATCAGGGAATTATTTAAGTTTCATTAAAGTTTTGAGCCACAGTTTAAGCCACAAATTCATAGAAAAAGTCGATTTTCTTACCGTTAATGTTCTTTATTTAACGCGTTTAACAGTAACTTAGCTATGTATTTACTATTTTTACTGAAGCTCATCATTATAGTTGCTTATTTACTTATTTAACGTCACTTACTCGCTTATTTAACCGTCTTTGTTTACCTGTTTACTTATTCCGCCAATTTAACGTACGAGTAAACAAAAACGGTCTTGCACGCGCTGCCTGCAAGCGTTGCCTAGCTACGATAACTTTATGGTACTGTGGTTTTTCTCCGTAGCAGAAACGAATCTGTTCATTAGCCTTTCTGCTGATTACCTCTTGCTGTAATATTACCTATAAAGCTGTCCGTTTCCCGCATCTCATGCAAACAGTGCCCACTTGAAAATTCAGTGCTGTCCTTTCAGTCTGCTTTCAGTTTCTTTCATTTCAGTTTTCATACCTGTAGTTCCCTCAGTGCTGTCATGTTTGAAGTCTGAGAAACATTAAACCCCGCCCTCTTCGGCTTCTTTGCAGCATGGATTGGCCGCCTGGATCCAGCGCAGCCAATCAGAATCACGAGGGTTGTTTGAGTGACAGTTTCTGAATGTAACGTACTAAATGTATTGAAAACGTGCTGTTTCCACGTGTGAGTCCTGTTCGGTGCCAAATGAATTAAATCTTGCTCATTTGAGCTTTTTTACCCTGTTCTCCATAGTTTTACTTAGGCAGGATATTACTTTGAATGGGATGGGGTGGGAAATTTTAAGCTGAACTAGCTGCCACAATCTTTATAATCAAGATTAAAAACTTCTAATGTAAGATTTCAACAGTCAGTGACTGACTTTTCTGTTAATACTGTAAAATACTGTAGTGTTGGCGCGGGAGAAGACATTGACAACATTGCACGTACAGGCAAATGCTGTTTTGGCTAGCCCAGCACTGCTCCTTAACATGAAACACAGGGAGAGGGTAATGTGGGAGGCCATGACATACAAGGAGGGTGGATAAGCACACGTACAAAACCCACCTTTCTTGGACACAATTTACACTAAGAAACAGATCTACACCGATAACAACATCAGCAACAACAACAACTACGACAGATGTCCTGTTATTACCAAAAGCATGGTGCCTTGCCAGAGACACGTGGCTCGCCCCCAGCGCCCCCTCAAGAGTCGGCCATCCTGCAACCCACACAGACTGGGGCATGTGACTGCTGCGGTAGTCGTTTCAAGATCTCATCATGCATCTGTTGGCCGTCCCAGGACGTCACATCTGCCCAACCCGGTTTTTGTCCCACCTCGAGCCATCCATGAGCCCACAAGAGGCCAATGTCCTCACACTGTGAAACTCCTCACAGCATCAAGTCCAGTTCTACAGGGAGTGACCACAGCAGCAGCAGCACCCCTCTCAGCTGCCTTCTGCTTTGTCCACTGTCCACTACGTTGCTGATGCCAGCGAGGGTGCTGCATATGTGCGTTGCCCACAGCCCTCAGGGATTCACCAGCTGGCTCTGACCTGGCATGTTTAGCTCCTCTAGAGCCTCATGCGCTCAACTCATCTCCTGCTCAAGCTTCTCCACAACATAGCACTGAGAATGAGTTCTGCCCTCCCTGCCTTGGCAACGACTGCTTGAAGACTGGCTGGTTCAGCGACCTGCACATGACATCACGGCTCCTCCTGCAGCAGGGCATTCAAGAAGTGTTCTTCTTGAGAAGAACTCTTCCTGCACTGCCTTCTCAAACACCAGGTATGCCTGTCAAGCCATTGTGCCAGCACACATATCCGCTCTCTCTTTGGCCTCCGCCCCTCCAGGAGCAGCTACCTGACTGACCACACCCCACGCCATGGTCAATGCTGCTAGATCCTCATGTTGTGTGGATTGTCGCCCTATCCCCTCCAGTACCAGAAACAGCTGCACTGCAATAACAGTCACCAGGGAAGCTGGTAACACAGGAGTAAACGATGTACAAGGAGGGCAGACAAACATACACACACACAAAATCCACCCTTCTTGGACACAATTTACACTAAGCAACACAACTGTACGAACACAACACAACAACATCAGCGACAACAACTACAACAAACATCCTGTTTTACCAGGAGTGTGGTGCATCCAGAGAGCCACTTTGCATGACCACAAGCTCCTCACGGCAGCACGACCCGTTATAGAGGCCACAGTATTTATCTGTTTTATCTACTTTTATCTGCTTTATTTGTTTTGTTCAAAAGGGTGGACATGTTAAAAGAGCAACATGTTAGATGACCCAATCTGTCAAATTTATACTCTACACTTCTACAAATAAGAAGCAACATATCACCAGAAAGTTGTAGTGTTCACCCCTTATGTAAGAAACAAGGAAATGCACAGTCCCTCCTCCTCCCTCTTTACTCCTCCCCCTCCTTACCGGTCTAGAAGAAACGCTGCAAGTATTAAACGATCAGCATCACATTTTATCCATTTACTTACCAAGAACTGCATTCCCCAGCGGTGGAAAGCAACATCAACCTGTTAACCTGTTTTGCTTCTATTTATGTAACTTCTTTACTTTGCTGCCAAACGTGGTTTCTTGCGGGGAACGAGCGGCAATGTTGATAATGGTCGCTTGCCAAGAGCCTCAGCCGTTATTGTGTTTACTGTTCCTTAACCTTGTTTACCTGTCCTTAAATGGCCTAACCAGAGATGGTACACTACAGTGACTCGTTATCGCCTCTTGAGGTACAAAGTGGTATTACAAGACAGGACGGGCCGGGACTAGCTGGTAGCATGCTAACTTAAGTAGATATCTCTGCAACACGATACGTAGACGTCTTTGATATGTTTGATTGTTTGATATGTTGATTTTGAAATGTTTTAAACATTTGTTTAAACAATCGTTTAAACAATCGTACAAATTGTACCTTTAAGCTTGACAGACCCTGTTAGTGCTTTTTTTTGTTCGTCACTTAATGTGGCAGTACAACCGTTGGTGTGATGGGGATCAAAACTCAGCATAGATAAAAAAAAATACATTGAAGGCAAAGATTTAATTGTTTTTTTTATATTGCAGTCATATGCATGTTTTTCTAAGTGGAAAAAACAGTGAACACACTTCTGCACATTTTAATGCACAATTACTGTTTATTTGCTGAATTTAACATATTAATATACAAAAAAAAACAACAATGAAAAATATGGCTTCTGCAAAATTTATATATAACAGTTATATATATACAGTTACATATACGTACATACACTATATTTATGGTTTTTTCCCTAATATGTTACATGCAGCAAATAAATAGAATTTTTGTGCTTCAATTTGCAGAAAAAAATGTGATTGGACTGAGCATGGTGTCAAATGTTGTGGACTCATAGAAAGAAACTTGCATGAAAGAGGCTCCAGTTTGAAGTGAATCATTCATACAACATAGCTTTGCTGTGCACATACTTTAATAATAAGCAAGAAACAAAGCAGCATCACTTGGTGAAAGGAAAGAGACACGTGTAGATGTGGACAGGAATCATTCAGCCTCATGTCTTTTAAACTATTGTACAACAGAGACACCTGCTGGCGGTCTGGTGTATTACAGTACATACATTCTTATAGCCCAGTTACATAGTGATAGCCTGCTTCAATGTGAACAAAATGTTCCTGTATCTAATTACATTGCACTTCTTCCTATCCCATGCCCCTGAGTATATGAAGGAAATCCTTTTTTTTATGAAAAGCAATTCACGGCATTTGCGTCGGCTTCTCTCCCACCCTCCGTTCTGCTTCAATTACAGCTCCCCTGAATACGGCTTGATTATTTCGACTGATTGTGCTGGAACTGAAATCACCAAATGTGGGCCATCTGTGGGCCCCAGAGACATGGTGTGGGACCGGTTATGCAATATGTAACAGTTTGCTTGCTCCAACTGCATGATTGCAGAGCGAATGCTACTGAAAATTATAAGACCTGACATCAAAGTGAGCATACGAAGTAGCACAGGCTAATGTACATGTATGGAATGAATGTGATTACTGTGCCTTAATATCAGATTCTTGCTTTAGATCATATCAATCTATCATATAAGTTATAACCAGAGGCATAATTGAAAATGAGACTGAGGTAGGCCTAAAATCACTTTACATGAATGCTAATAGTCACTACTGATGATTCGGTATGGCTATGGTGTAAACAGTTAACGTCAAAGGAGTACTACAATGTTTTTCAACCTGAACTCTATCTGCTGCTCTTTTTGAGCATATGGTCGATTACCATGGTCAATAATTTGTTTCTCTGTCTGCAGTAAAAAAAATGAAAAACTTGACTTAAAACAGGTTTATAATGGAAGTCAATGGGCACCTGCTTCACTGGCGTCTATTGCAGGTGTGGTTTAAGAAGGTGGGCTTCTGAGCTTTGAGCCAGCAGTTTATTCTGTTCTTTATTGACTCGAAACAATCCTAATAGAAGCCAATGGGCAGGTACATCCGCAGATGCCCATTGGGTTCTATTATAAATGTCTTTTCGGTCAACAAATTTTGTTATTTTACGAAGTACAAGAAAAGTGTCAAAGTTATCGTCTGTGGTAATCCACCGTACGACACACATACAGCAGATGGAGACCATGTTAAAACATGCTAAAATGTTCCCTTAACATTCTTGATGGCTGTAATGTTCTAGAAAGTGATAGAAGAAGAAAGCTTAACTATAGAGCTCCATGATCACCTTAATCACCTACTGCACTGACAACATTGATGGCTAATAACTCTGATGATGTTCCTCGCAGGTCACTTTTTGGCGATGGGGATGACCTTGTTTTGGCACAGGCAGATAGCGGGGCAATACTTTTTCACAATGTAGTCCTCACATGTGTGTTCTTCTTTTAGGTCAGGGCAGTTGGCGTATCTGTCGATGTAAGGGCAGGGGCTGGCTGTAAAAGAAAAGGTCACGTTTTAAGTCACCGGGCCATAAATCCATCCAACATATCAAAGAGTTGGTCTGAAAAAGTTCTCCATAAGTACAAATGGCCATGAAGTGTGGTGGTGACTCATTGTAATGCTGTGGAAAGATAAGCAGTGTAGCAATACTCACTGCACAATCTGTCCTCACAAGCGTCTGGACAGGCCGAGCAGGGTTCTCCCACTGAGTACGGAGGCACTCCTTTGAAATTCCCTCTGTATACACAGATAAAAATACTGTAGAAACTGAAACTGGTTGTGCTGGTCATTAACCCTTTAATGCCGAGGCAAAAAGTGGCTATTTCTACTGTTTAATCTCTTCTTCTTTGATAATGTGATCTCTTGATGCTGTTGCATCTTCTGCAGAATTACAAAGTAAAGATGTAAAGAAAGTCATTCAGAGTGGTTTGGTGTGAAATGCTCTGTTCCAGAGAACCTTACAGTCAGAACTGTTCACAGTGGTGGTGATAAGAGCAAGACGTCTGATACCTCGAAAAGCTGCATCACAAAAATATATTACATGAAACGATTATGAATACACTGCCTGATGCCCAAAACATTGTTCTACGGTAGTTTGTTACAAGGTTTTAGCCTAAACCGTGTTGTTAAAGTCCATTTATAGTGGAGAGGTACATTCAGTGTTGTAAGGCAAAATAATACCTGAGGAAAACTTTTTTTTTTAGGTTTATTACTGTTTTACCATCATTAACATTACATATAAAAACTCAGAAGGCATGTGTAGGTTCACTGGTGGTTTCAGATACCAAATAAAATGACTATATTTGTGTTGCAGACATAGTGACGTCTGGTTCCTATCACCACCGCTGTAAAGACATCTAAATCTGTACGTTTCTGTAGAACAGAGCATTTTACCATCGAAAATCTGAATGATCTGTTTACGTCTCAACCAATTTTTAAATTTTGGGCATACGGTTGTTAGACGTGCTCCAAATGTAGCCATCTTTAAGTCCAGTTTAAAGACATTTGTGGTTTTTCATGCCTTTGTTTACCACTGCACTTTGTCTTGCTTATTAATCCTATATTGTATTTTCTATTTTATTGTATTTTATCTCTGTAATACATTTTAATGAGTTTTTTCTAACTTTTTAATCTCAGAACATCATAAACTTCATTTTTTAACACTTTTATTTTTCCACGTTTGTGTGAAGCACTTTGAATGGCCAATATCTATGAAAGGTGCTGTACAAACAAACTTGCCTTGCCTTCTTATATCACACACTCTTAAAAAACATGGTGCTTCAAGGGTTCTTTAGCAAAGAAAATGGTTCTGTATAGAACCATGAACACTGAAAGAACCCTTTGCATCATTTTGAGTGCTATATATAACCATCTACAGCACATTCGTGCACATTTTCCATCAATAGGAAGAACGCTTTCCTTAAATCATGTAAAGCGTTCTTTGAATGTTCATGGTTCTATATAGAACCATTTTCTTGCTGTACCACTATTCGTATTTTGACCGCTAAACAGCCTCATAATCCAAAGGATCCAGTAACATTCAGAGGAAATAAGTACACCTGACAAGATGTATTGGGTTCGAAACATTTTTGTTTACCACAGGATGCAGGAGGGATGATTTGAATTCAAAGGTCTATGTATGCAAGTGCTCACTCAGAATCTATTGCAGTGCATCCAACAATAAAGGCAGCATAGAGATTCTTTTATACAGTGATAGGAAACACAGTAGCACACAGAAAGCTCCAGTTCCGCATGCTGATCCATTTTACTGTGACCAACATGGGTATGGACACTGAACTATTACTCTGAGGGCAGATTCTAATCAGTTAAAGGGGGTGAAGAATGTATCACAGATGATATGTTAGATAAGTTACCTCTATGGTAACTATAGCATGATAACTACTAGCATATATGGAACCAAGTTTATCAAAGGATTTTGACGTACGCTCGATAGTAATGGCATGCATAGAAGTAGTTGGTTCCACACTTGGCCACGCCGCAGCCGACTTCGTACGAGCCGTACCACACCACCTTCAGCAGGAAGAGAAACAGGATCAGGCCGGGATAAACACTGCTCAAATTTAAGATGACAGTCTCCATAATTATTGCAACTGCGCCCCTCCCTAGCCCTCAGTGTGTTCATGACTGCTATCAATATAGCGCTGGCAAAGCAAAGGTCAATAAACTAAATCGGCTCCCATTAGACTCGAGCAAATAAAGCCTTAAGCCGGCATAATCCTTTCAATAGAGTGCATTGGGCTCACCGCATTGAAGGAATACTGTGGTGAAAAATCAAATGTACGCAACCTCCCCCTGAACCTGAACAGAGTCAGCCAAAAGATGTTTGTTGCCTGAAGCTACAAAGCTACAGCCACAGTCACGCTACACATTTGTGTCGCCTTGCGAGAGGCTGGTTCAGTGATGTAAAACCATCTATATTGGTATAGGTATCATACTAGCTAACCCTAAACTAACCTAAAGCGAACCATAAAGTAAAAACACAAACATGAACATAATTATCATATAATTACATACAACTGCTGTGGTTGGCGACAGTACAGTACAGTCACTTGTGTCAACTTCACTTAGCACTTTGATGTCAGGTCTTATAATTTTCAGTAGCATTTGCTCTTTAGCAAGTGGCTAACTCACCTACAGCAAACAGTAAAAAACAAAGACATGATGATACCAGATATTTATCTACTCACGCTATATACTAAATACTGATTTATAGCAGAAAAAGTGCTGATAACTGGCACGGTTGCAAAGGAGTTAACATCACAGCTAGCAAGCTGGCTAACTTGCCTACCACAAACAGCAAAATCACAAAAGTAAAGATAATAATACAGACTCCAGACTGAAGATATATCATGTAGTCTCTGTTTCGTGTGGTTTTTCACAAACAGTGGAGAAGAAATCTGAAGAGATTTGTGCTTAAACACAACGAAAGCAGTCTAATGTTTGCTTCTTGTAGCACTTGAGCTACAAGGCTAATGTAGCTACCAAGTAATGGAAGCTTAAACATCATTAATTAGTGTCTTTTGGTCCAAGATGTAAATTCACATGTCAAAGTTCAACTCAGTACCGCCTGAAATTTCTTAGCCCCAGAAGTCTGCAGCACAAAATGGCTCATCCCTATGAATTGCGCAGAAATTAATGTAATTTTGCTATTGAAAATTCTGGGTCTTAATGCTAATATGCCACCAATTTGTGTTGTTAAACTGCTTGGCTAAATCATCACAGATCTGCCTCAAACCGTGTCAAGTTGTTAAAATTTCATTTTAAAATATATGCAGTTCTCCTGATGCTAATGGTGTTTAAGCTTCCATTACTTGGTAGCTACATTAGCCTTGTAGCTACTAAAGACATCTTGCCTGATCAACTACCATTTGGATCAACTTACGCTTTGAATAAACTGCATTATTAATTTTACGGGTGCACACTAAAAAAACAAAGTTTAGCAGCTGCTGGACTGGGTGAGTAAACACGGTCTGCATGTCTGACATGATACAGATCAAAATGTCATTGCATAGCGTAAAATAATGGTTTGAAGAAGATAAGCTTTTTAATATTTATTGTGGATTAATAATAGATGACAAAAAAATTACTTGAGTGTAATGCCCAATGGGCTCTCCATTGATGGATCCAGTGGGATACTCGTAATCGACGACTTCACTGTGCCATGCTGTCACAACCGCAGTCCACTGGAACAATCCAGTGCTTTTGAACAGGTTTTCACCCATTTCGTATGCTGCAGGTTCACAAAACAAATATAAACTTAGTCTGAGAAATATTGTACTCTACAAATATAATGTTGTTATTTACAACCCCATTTCCAAAAAAGTTGGAACGCTGTACAAAATGCAAATAAAAACAAAATGCAATGACGTGCAAATTATTTAAACCTGATATTTCATTGAAAATAGTGCAAAGACAACATATCAGATAAAGAAACTGAGAAATTTTATTGTTTTTTGAAAAATATTTGCCCATTTTGAATCTGATGCCAATAACACATTCCAAAAAAGTTGGGACGTGGGCAACAAAAGGCTGGTAAAGTTTTGTAATGCTAAAGAAAACACCTGGTGGTAGATTGGCAACAGATCAGTAACATGATTTGGTATAAAAGAGCATCACAGAGAGGCTGAGTCTTTCAGAAGTAAAGATGAGGAGGGGTTCACCACTCTGTGGAAGACTGCACGATCAAATAGTGCAACAATTCAAAAATAACATTTCTTAATATAGCAATATAACGTTTCTAAAATAGCAAAGCACTTTTGCTTTTCATCGTCTATGGTAATAACAATATAATATAAATAATAAAATTAAAAGATTCAGAGAATCTGGAGAAATCTCTGTATGCAAGGGACAGGGCCAAAAAACAGTATTTGCTGGCCGTGATCTTTGGGCCCTCAGGCGGCCCTGCATTAAAACAGAGATGATTCTGTAGTGGAAATCACTGCATGGGCTCAGAAACACTTCTGAAAAACACTTTCTGTGAAAACAGTTCATTGCTGCATCCACAAATGCAAGTTAAAACTCCAAAACACCAAGACGAAACGATATATATAAAAAGGATCTTGAAACGCTGCCACCTTCTCTGAGCCAGAGCACATTTAAAATGGACTGAGGTGAAGTGGAAAAGTGTCCTGTGATCCGACAAATCAACTTTTTAGGAAATGAGGTTGTATATATAGATGTTATTTCTGTCTGAATTACGTCATGTGTCATGAGGTTCTGTATTATTATCAATTTGGGCAACATATTTAAAGGTGCAGTGTGTAAGATTTAGGGGGATCTGTTAGCAGAAATAGAATATACTTTACAAAACCTTGTTTTCATTAGTGTAGAATCACCTGTAACTACGAATCGTTGTGTTTTCGTTAGAATTAGAATGAGCCCTTCATATCTATATAGGAAGCGGGTCTGCTTCCAGCAGAGGCCTCCATGTTTCGACACTAACCCAGAATGGACAAACCAAACACTGGCTCTGAAGAGCTCCTTTCACGTTTTTACATTGAATCGGGAGCTTGAGTTTTGTAGCGCTATAGCACCAGTTGGAAAACGTAAAAAGTGGAAAAGTGAAATTAGTGGTTGCCGCCATTGCTGGCTGACCATTTTGTGCTGGGTTTGAGAACCCAAATTTTGACAAATGGAGGGTCATACTTGTTATCCAGCACAAGAAAAAGGGACAGGTAAATCCTCTTCCACAAAAAAATAAAAACACAAAGAAGCAAAATGAAATCAGGACAGGCAACGGTAGAAAACATGACAGCTACCGTAGGTTCTACTACACGCTTGGAAAGGGAGGGGTTAGGGAGGGGAATTCAGTTGGTTGCAATCTGAAACCTCACCACTAGATGCCACTAAATCTCACACACTGCACCTTTAAGGTAATGAAACACGAAAGTCATTGAGCATCGAATAGATTTAATACTTTTGCCTGTTTACAGTATACAGTATAATCTAATCCGTAAAACCCTTAAGAAACAATGTAGATAATGAACATGTACTTAAAGAACTAACTTTTCTCAGAAATGCTAATATTGCTGATCTTAAAGTAAAGCTAATAGAGGCCTAATAGAGGGTGGGGGAAATATATTGCTGTTGTCAGAAGAAAACCTTGTATCTCCAAAATGCTAACTTTACAGGAAAAGGAAAAAAACTACTTTACTTTTAACGTACATCAATGGAACCAGACTTTTTTCCAAGTAATTTTGGGCTGTTTCTTTTGGTCCATTTATCATGAAATTTAGAGCAACAGGTATTTTCAAATTGTGTCAAAAACTGAAAAAAAAAATACAAGGTTTTCTTCCGACAGCAGCGATATATATATAACTTATTAGCTTTGGAACATTTTTGTTCACCACAGGTGGCAATAGCATCAGTTTTCAGAAATGCCAGCTTCAGTGGCCTATTAAGCACTATAAAAGAGAGAAAATATGCAAAGTTGGTGGGAAGGAATTTAGCTTTGACAAATATAGAGTCAAGATTGTGAAATAAACTTTTATTTAGATTTTTTTCCATTTTATTTTTACCATTTTATTAAGCAGTGCTCAGTTGTGCCTTCCACCCAATGAGCGCTGGGATAGGCTCCAGTCCCCCTGAAACCCAGGAGGATATGCAGCCTAGATAATGTGTGCTTAATTGTTTAAATAGACGAGCCGCCTCTGGCACGTGTAAAACTTCAAATCTATGTGAAAATTCTAGCAAAGCCTAGAAAAGTTAGCTCAGTTAAGCCAGTTGCTTGAGCTTTATTTCTAACTTATTGAAGCTCATGTGATGAAAGCGCATGTGACTGATGGCTTAATTGAGCTACTTTTAAATTTTCACATGCATATGAAACTTAAAAAAACATTTTTGGCTGGCCTAAGTTTTAGTGTAGTCAGATAAAAGTGGGCCTACTTCCGCGCATGCGACTGCTTGGCGGGCCGTGTTTCATAGAGCAGGTGTTGACCCAGTTCTGAGCTGAGACTGCTGCTTCCTCACTCCAGTTCTGCAGGCAAGAAAACACACCATTCAGCATCATCACACAATCCATAAGAAAAGTGCACAGCTAATATGTGTCTGTTTATGATACATGAAGCTCAATGGACTTAAAGACCCCGGGAACCTAAATCTGTGTTTTCTTTCTTATTAGGTTAATCTTGCACTCTAACAGTGAACATGTACTAAGTTTAAAGTTAATAATGTTCCAATAACCGATAAATGACCGATATATTTCACCATATTGCTCTCCTCTCAATGTAAACTGGGCGGTCCTAATCTTCTGTAAGCATTTCCTTGACCAATCACAAAGCTGATGTCTTTTGCTCCAGTTTCAGAGTCAGAGAAACTCAGCGAGCTAACGCTAACCCAGCATAACCAAAAGCTAGCAAGCTTGACCACCTGTGTGTAGCTGCTTGTCACCTGTTCATTCGTTTATCTATAGATCAACATTGGTTGTTTGTCCGTCCGTCTGCACGTCTGTTCGTCTGCAACTGTTTTCATCCAGTTACCATCAGATAAAAGCTGATTAATGACTTCAGTTCTCTATGAGGGGCGGGGCAGGCTTGGAGTGTTGGACAGAGAGCTGTCAATGAAGCTGCTCATATTGCTGTCAGATAGGCCTGATCAGCACTTTTTAAGTCGTGTTTTATCACATTTATATCTTATATTTTCATTCAAGCTTTGCTGGATGTTTAATACAGCACTAAAGTTTAGTATCATACAAATGATACTTCATTTCAGGCCGACTGAAAACTTAAAAGTGAACCATCTGCATCGCTTTTTATTCACTTTCTCAACTTAGTTTAGTCAAAAGTTCTCCTAAAGTACATTTTTAGTAGTAAAGTCTACAAAATACAGCGGGCTTACTTTAAAAAAAAAATCCTTATAAGCTGAAATGGGTTACATTTTTGATCACTTTAGTCCCACCCACTGACTACAACACCCACGGCTGGGGCCTTCTGACTGCAGCAAGCTGACGCATCGCTGGGATTTGAACTTATGATGTCTGACAATCAACCAGTAAGACAGTCATGCCACTCTGAAGCAGCAAAAATCAGAAACAATGAAAAGATCAAAATGTTTAATAAAACAATGAACAAAAGCCTTTTTAACACTTTGTGCTGACTGTTTCTTTCAGGTAACAGTTCTTTATGCTTTTTGGCTTTGTAGCTCAACTAAGTACCCAATCACCAAGACATCACAGCTTCAAGTCTCAGTGACACCACCACTCTCTGTGGTCAGAAGCCTGAAAGTAGGGAGCCCTCACCACCCTCCAGGCCAGGCATGTCAAACTGGTGACCTTTCAGGCCAAAGTGCTGCGGAGATTAACGTTTAGCCTCATCTAATGTTCTGAATTCAGTTCATGAAGGCCTTAGCTGATGAGCTGAATCAGGTGTGTTTAATGAGGCAGAGTGCTGAAGTCTGCAGTGTTTTGACCTGCAAGGACTGGAGCCTGACACATGTGCTCCAGCCTGTGGACACCATGTGAAAAGAGGAGTTATAGCCTGTGGGCAGGAGATAGAAGTAACTTGGGAGAGGAGTCCACAAAGAAATGTAAGTAATTTCAGTTTATAAGGAGGTAACCACTTTTTTCCACTTTTTTTCCTTTTAAGAGAACTAATAGCTGCACTATGCAAGTTTTGGGGATTTGGAGACCTCTCTGGTGGAAATGTGTAATTGCACGCAAAGTGCGGAAGTATATAGGGTGTCCCAAAAAAATTGACATCATTTCATAGTCTAATAACAAAGCCAATTCTCCCTCAAATGATCTCAAATTTTAACAAAATGTGTAAAAACTAATCAAGTTTAATTTTTCAGGTTGAAGAATGGCATTCACTATAAATGAACAGGCATTTTGTGTGTTAGAATATGCTCGAACAAAGTCAAACAAGAGTGTGCAGCGTGCATTTTCAAGAAAATTCAATAAAAATGCAGCAACTGGAACTGCACTGGAGACTGTTACGCAAGACATGCTACAGCATGTGTGGCAGGAGCTGGACTACCGACTTGACGTGTGTCGTGTCACAGGCGGTGCGCATATTGAACATTTGTGAAGCTTTGAGAAAAATCGGTTATAAAATCTACATCCCTCTGAATTTCTTGTTTGAATTTTGATAAATAAATCTTGTATTGTTCAACATGAAGCCTATCTAATTTTGTTTGCCCAGGACATGCAGTTATCTACTAATCTACTATTTTCATCATATCTTTATCAGATTTTGCATTCGAAACCTAGACATCCAGACCTTCTTTTTGATCTTGTGTGTGCGACATTATTACCCTGGCAAAATCCAGCCCGACGCCTCTGACTTTTAATTTTAATCTTTAATCTATTTTAGCGAGGTTTTAGCAATGCGACAGTAAGGCTACTTCTTTCAGTTTTAACAAGAAAAACGTACATAGTGTAGCTTCAAACTGTAACAGAAGATGCAGAACTGAATTTTTAAAATTGTTAAACTTTAGACTAAACTAAGTTGAGATAATGTTTTAAAAGCTTTGCAGCAAAAATTGACTTAAAATGTATTTTTTTAATTATTATTTTTTACTTTTGTACAAGGCATAGCACAATGTGTGTCCAAACGTCCCGACTGATAAACTAATGTAGTGTAATAGGCCAAACTGCATGTTAACTCATAGAGAAACTTCAGGCAAAACTTCACACCAAACACACATCATGGGACATTGCTGGTGGGCCTTTGCTTTACGAGCTATACTTTACCATTTTCAGCATGTTGCTGGCTTGTGGATCGACTGATCTCCTGAACTCATTGTGCAAATTGACAATCTCCTCCTGAACAGCAGTGAGGTTTGTACAGATTCCATCTGTACAGAATCCAGAAAGACATTATGGTCAGTTTGAAGAACTTCAAAGCTGTTTCAGTCAAGAAATACTAATAGCCACCAATAACTAGCTGGTTACAGTAATACAGGTGATTTCAGGGAAGAACCATTCACCATGCAAACCTGAGACTGCAGGTCAACTGCGCATCAACTACAATTAATTGTGGTTATGGAATTACATGTTTTAAAGGGCCTGTATTATGGAAAATTGACCCTGTTTTTGTGACGTCACATGACATTTACATATTCAGTCTGCAGCAGTTTAGCTCCACTCATTCTCTCTAAAGTTATAAGGAGTGCTTCACCCTAGACTGCCTTTTGAGTTAGGATCAATACAAGGCAGCCAATCAGAATGGACCTCATTTGCATATTTCAGTCAGTAACAAAAACTTAATTCTAAAGCATAAAGAGAGGTTGAAAAATAGTAATGTAAAACATTAGTTATGGCTATTTTTGGTACATAAACTCAACTAAATATTTGTTGTTCATGGAAAAAAAAACCCAACAAAATGTAAAATATGGATTCATTTAAGTTTAATAACTTAATAATTTGCCTGGAAGTTAAAGGGACAAAAAAAATGAAAAATGTAACCATCACTATGTTTAAACCATGCTTACTTGCCTCCTGCACTCTTAAAAATGATGGTTCTTCAAGGGTTCTTTAGTAAAGACAATGGAACCATATAGAACCATGCCCGCTCAAAGAACCATTTGCATGCTTAAATATGTTCTTTGCTTGGTGAAATTGTTCTTCAGATTGATGGAGAATGTGCTATAGATGGTTCTATGTAGAACCTTTTTGAAAACGGTTCTAAATAGCACCATAAAGGGTTCTTCTGTCGCTCAGAGCTGGACATTGTAACTACAGCAGATCCCTTTTTGGTGCTATTTACACACTTAAAAAAGATGGTACTTCAAGGGTTCATAATTAAAGACAATGGTTCTACATAGAACCATGAGCACTCAAAGAACCCTTTGCATGATTAAAGGGTTCTTCATGTCATGAAAGGGTTCTTCAGATTGATGGAGAATTTGCTGTAGATGGTAAGTAAATGGTAGTTACCTTTCTGAAAAGGGTTCTATGTAGCAGCAAAGGGTTCTGGCATTGCTACAATTTCAAGCTTCAATGGTTCTATAGAGAACCATTTTCTTTACTAAAGAAACCCTTGAAGAACCATTTTTAAGTGTGTAGAGCCAAATACGATGCATTCTCCATCAATCTAAAGAGACATTTCACCATGCAAAGAACTGTTTAAGCAGGCAAATGGTTCTTTCAATGGCCATTGTTCTATATAGAACCTTTGTTTTTAATAAAGAACCCTTGAAGAACCATCTTTTTGAAGTGTGTAGAACCATATATGACACATTCTCCATCAATCTACAACAAAGAACAATTTGACCATGCAAAAAATCATTTAAGCATGCAAATTAAACTACTAACAAAGAAACTACTGCAGCAAGCGTTCTTTGGTAAACACAATGGTTCTATATAGAACCATGACCACTTAAAGAACCATTAAACAAAGGTTCTATATAGAACAATGGCCATTGAAAGAACCATTGCATGCTTAAATGGTTCTTTGTATGGTGAAATGGCTCTTCAGATTGATGGAGAATGTATTGTATATGGTTCTACACAATTAAAAATGGTTCTTCAAGGACTCTTTAGTAAAGACAATGGTTCTATATAGAACCATTGAAGCTTGAAATCGTAGTAATACAAGAATCCTTTTTGGTGCTGCATAGAACCCTTTCAACAAGGTTACTACCTTTTACTTACAATCTACACCAAATTCTCCATCAATCTGAAGAACCCTTTCATGACGTTAAGAACCCTTTAATCGTGCAAATGGTTCTTTGAGGGCTCATTGTTCTATGTAGAACCTTTGTCTTTACTAAAGTACTCTTGAAGAACCATGTTTAAGTGTGTAGAACCATATGCAACCCATTCACCATCAATCTGAAGAACGATTTCTCCATGCAAAGAACAATTTAGGCATGCAGATGGCTCTTTCAGTGGTCATGGTTCTATATGGAATCGTTGTCTTTACTAAAGAACCCTTGAAGAACCAACCCTTGATGATGTATCTTGAAGGTGGAAGTAAATTTTGAAAGACTACAATGGCTTCAAGTGGAGAGTGGGCTGTTTGTTTTTTGTTTTTTTTTGTATTGTTTCTTGCTAGCTGGCTAAAACTTCAACTGAATTTTTCCTAAAACACAGAAAACCAATTGAAGTTAGTACTGTATCACTAAAAATAGCTAGCAGATGTGGCTAGCGCTGTTCAGCGCTGTAGGGATTCCCAATGGTTGTGATATATTAGTGTAATGCATGCTGGGTACTGTAGTGAAAGAATCCCGATGGACTAAAACACCAAAAACGATTCAGAAAATTCTGTCAAACTGAAGAGGCTCAGCAATTCAATGCAGCACTACAGAAGATAACATAAGCTAAAAATAATATATTAAATGCTAGTATTAGGCCAGAATGCCCCTTTAATGAGGGTAAAAAATAAGACTGCTTGATTATAGAATTGATTATTAAAAGCAAATCTTAAATTTCAATCATACATCACATTAGAACATCCATATATAATCACAATGTCAAGTAATAGGTGAACTGTAAGAGGATCATGCTTACCTGGCTGTTGATGCCACCGGCAGGAATGAAAAGACAAAAGTGAGAAAAATGAGAGGTTATTCAGCTTCATCACAATATTATCCATAAAATATTTTAGCTTTGATTGCTGGAATTGCATTATATATTACATTTTTTTATTATTCATGTGATTACTGGATTGCCTGAGGCCTTTAGAGGGCCGATACTCTACCCAATGGTCAGTTCCGAAATTAACAAACACTACCCTAAAAAAGTGATGATGAGGTGGCGCTTGATTCAGATGTGTATATTGTTGCCACACACATAAAAAGGATTACATGAATACAATTTTCTATTTACAAATGTGTTGAGGTGCTACAATTGATTCATTTTATTTGAATCAAATGAATTCAGTTCATTAGGGGAAAAGCAAATCCATGACTTTTGAAACAGATTAGCTTTCCAATCTAAATACATAAATATACATAAACATGCATTAAAAAACATGAAAAGTGTAGCAAATTTATTTTTGAACAAAAAAGTAGAACTATATCAGCACAACACAGCCGAAATAGAATTTATTGACATGACATATTTAGGATGTTAAATTTGTCTATAAAAACCTGAATCGATTTTGGGAGTATATGGGGTTTGTACTTTAGCCTGGCTAGCTCTCACTGTAAGCTGTTTATAGTACTGTATTACAGCCACCAAGAGCATTATTAAAATTCTCAGATTCCGATGACCAAAAGCTAATTCTACAATTAATAACCTTTATGAGTGCTCAAATATATAATATATTCCTACTAATATTAAAGAAACACAAGACCTGTGGTGGCCGTGTATTTCAGGTTACTCACCACACTGCAGGCAGTGCTCATATGAATCAGAGTCAGCATGCAAACACTCCACACAAACATTGTGTCGAAGGTCTAGCTCCTGGAAACACAGAGAGGCAAGCAATTTTATTACAAACATGAGTATCATTGAGCACATTTGCATGCACTAAGTAACCCAATCATTATCAGATTTCGGCAGTAATCTGATTATTCAAGTGCTCGTAGTCACGTAAACAGCATGCTCTAATTTCTTAGATCAGATTAAGGCCTAGAAATCAGATAAGGAGAGCAGGATTTCAGCTTAGTATTATCAGCACATGTAAACTCTTACTCTGATTTCTTTCCTTTTTCTCAGTCTGTGCATGTGTGAAAACAGACCATGGTACCAGACACAGCAAGCGGCGTTTAACGCGGCACCCTGGAGATGAGCGACGCTCAAACCAACTAGTTTGATGTAATGAAGGATTTGATATTCTTCAGCTTCTAGACCACATGTGTCAGGCTCCAGTCCTCGTGGACCAAAACACAACAGATTTCAGCACACTGCCTCATTAAACACACCTGATTCAGCTCATCAGCAAATTAGCAAGGCCTTCATGAACTGAATTCAGAGTGTTAGATGAGGATAAATGCTAATCTCTGCAGCACTTTGTTTGACATGCCTGCTCTAGATGATATATATACATATTTTCCACTAAAGTGATTTGATGGTTAACACAGCATGACTTTGAGACAGAACGTCTTTTTATGTGAGCTTATTGGCTGGTTGCAGAGCAAAAATCCGATTACAGCCTGACTCATGTGGACCCAGAGTTTCCCTAGTATCTGATAACTCAAGTGTACGTAAACACGTTGAACAAATTACTGACAAAAGATCAGGCAAGTCAGATTTGTTTCTCAAAGCAGATCTTTTGAGATAACTGTCCACACTGTTATTTGCAAGTGATCAAATTGGATTTGTGCGTCTGGACATCACCAGCCTATCTGCATGGATTGCTGCGGTAACCATGAATCTTTGGTGCACTTTGCCACTCTGGATTTGACATCGTCGCTGTTTGCTGCGTTGCGAGTGACACAAAAGACATTTTCAAATCCGATTTGAGCTTCCAGAGCGCCCACACTGAGAACCATCTGTAAAATCCAATTGGAGTTGCATTTCAAACAACTTCCAAATGTAGTTTGATTTCATGTGTTTTTTTTGCTGTCCAGACTATCAAAAATCAGTCTCCATACAATCTGGATATTCTTAAATCAGATTTGATCTGGCAGTCTGAACAAGGCCAAAATCTGATTTTCTTGCAGTTATCAGATTATTAAGTGTATGTAAATGCATTCATTAGGTTTTTTATATACAGCTGGGGAGATTAACTAAATTTAAATCTAAAACCTAATATTACACAATACGAACAGTGTGTTTACCAAGTTAAATTAAACATTGTGTTTATTCTAGTCTTGTCAGTACATTAATCAAACTGCAAGCAGTTGCAATAATGCTAGTAGAGCAGGTATGAGGAACTGTACTGAGTAACACAGGTATCAGAGATAACAATAGAGTAATAAGTGATTTTACACTATCAGTATCACTGGTTGGGAGTCTGATTCTTTCTGTAGTTTCTTATACATTTAATATATGAACTTCAGGGAGGTGCAGTTTCTTCACACCAGAGACCTGCAATACATAACAGTAACTGTACATTCACCACAGGCCATTAATATTATGTCAAACTTTCTGTTTATTCTTGATTTAACTGTACACTTTCCAAACTGCAAGCACATAAAGTAATGCTATGTAAGTATAACGAGTATTAGTGATAGTAATGTACAATGCAGCCACAATACCCGTACTTTAATAAGCAATTCAACATTATAGGCGCGTGACAGACAGCAGGATCACCGATTTGGAGTCTTTATATGGTTTCTTATGAAAATAAAGGCAAAATCCATAGAGAAATATCAGTGCAGTGCCTAATAGTACATTCTTTAAAAAGATGGTTCTTCAAGGGTTCCTCAGTAAAGGAAATGGTTCTACATACAATCATGAACAAAGAAGATGATTACGTGACTAAAAGGTTCTTTGCTTTGTAAAAACGTTCTTCAGATTGATGGAGAATGCATTGCATATGGTTCTATATGGGACATTTTTGAAAGTGGTTCAATATAGCACCAAAAAAGGTTCTTCTATTGTTGTGATGTCAAGCTTGTAACAAAAGAGGAACACTTTTTCGTGCTACATAGAACCCTTTTCAAAAAGGTTAGAACTATCAAAGGTATGTTCTTCATCAATCTGAAGAACTAGTTCACCATGCAAAGATTCCTTTAGAACCCTTTAAGAACCATATTTTGTCATATATATATATATATATATATATGTGTGTATATATATATATATATGTTTGCTGAGACATTCCATATATATATATATATACATATATATATATATATATATATATATATATGGAATGTCTCAGCAAATGAAAAATGAAATGCCCAACTTACACTTCTTTCCTGAATTTAGTATATTGGAAAAAATATATATATATAAGTACCATAACTTGTGCACAGGCAACATTTTGTTTACCTATTTTTTAATAATTTCCCTTATTTCCCTTCAGGGATCAGTACAGCAGATCTAGTCTTACCTTAGTATTGCTGAGTATTAGCAATAGTAATAAGTAATATAGTAAATAGTAGTAAGTAATATTAACATTACCTGCTCATATGAGTTGAAGAACCAGGGCTGCTGTTTGATATAAATTTAGCTGCATTCCCACTCTTTATAAGCGCGGCTGCACATGCGCAGACCGTCCTTTACGACGTGCTTACATATTATTAATGACATTCAAGTGACCCAACCTCTGAAATATCAACACAAAACAATTAGGTCCCCTTCGGCAAACAGTGGCGGAGAATGACGGGCGCCGATACAAGAACCAGTCTGAGGGAGTGTAGCTTCTTTGGGTTGAACACGGTGTATTAAGGCAGTATTTACTGGATTAAGCCTCACAAACAGAGCAACAAAGGCGAAATGTCTGAGACAACATGGAGCTGGATTCCACCCAAAGGCCCGTGAGGACTCATGACGGCCTTTCTGTCTTGGCGCATTGTGTCACTTTTTCGTCAGATTGTGTTGATTTGACTAGCACTGAAACTGTACACTTGAATGTATGGCTTTGTAAATCTCCCATAACACAAGCGTGTTTACTTTTCAGAAATATTACAAAGCGGCTGATATCGTGAGCTGGAACTGACCCAGCAGTGTCAAGTACTTCCATACGTATAGAACTGTACTCAGCAAACACAGGTGACTTGGCAGTATCTCAATTAGATAAGACTTTAAAAGGTGTACTTTTGTCATAGATTAGCAGGTAAAACTAATTACTTAATCCGGAATTAGAATCTTTTATTCACTAAGTGCAAGCATTTTTATTGGTGTAGGCGCCAACATTAATTCCAATTAATTCCAATTTTAAAAAAATGCTAAAAATCTGTGGGCCACAGAACACAATATCCTGTTGGAAAACCTTGAATCTCCATTTTTGTCATTTTTAGTTTTTCACATAATCTTAAAATGCCTGTTGCCCTTTAAATTGTGTGTACATTCAATGATGAATTGACCAAAGAAAATGGTCCAAAATTACTTGGAAAAAAGTCTGGTTCCATTGACTTACATTAAAAGTAAAGTAGGTTTTTTCCTTCTCCCGTAAAGTTGCCATTTTGGAGATTTTCTGAGGTTTTGTTCCAACAGCAGCACTATGTTTTTAATTCATTGTCAAAAAAACATTTTGCTATAACTATTTGCTTGAACTAGGCACCTGTCATCTTTTCTTTGCTGTAAGTTCATTCATTGGGATCAGTTTCTGAGCTGCTGAGTGGTGTTTTTGTTTGTTGAACTGCAGCTAAAATGCAGCTAGTGTGGGGACTGTAGTGCAGCGCATTTCAATTCCACTTCTTCATTTTTAGTGTACAAAAAAGAGCAGAAAGCCCATATTAACCAGAAGCCTCAACAACTAAACATAATTTTTTAAAGTATCCAGTGTGTCCAGTAGTGTTGGGGTGTGGGCTCTGGGGTTGGTCAGTGTGTGGTTTAAAGACCAGCAGCCTCTTTGTTTTTTGTTCGAGTTGTCTTCTTACAGTGGACGGATAACTTGATTTTGTCCTCTCTCTCAGAGATGAAAGCTTTAAGTGCTGTTGATCTGATGGGGCAGTTTTGGTGTCTACCAGGTTTTCCAGGTGGTTGTTAGGAGTCTCATTTTCTCTGTAGCTTTTAATCATAACTTTTGGAAACTCCTGTTTTTCCACTTATTTTTCTTTGACTTTTCACTTAATTATGCGAAAAGATTGTCTTACAACCCTATTTCCAAAAAGTTGGGACACTGTGCAGAATGTAAATACAAACAAAATACAATAATGTGTAAATCATTTAAACCCTATATTTCATTGAAATAGTACAAAGACAATATATATATCAAATGTTGAAACTGAGAAATTTTATTGTTTTTTTTAAATATATGCCCATTTTGAAACTGATGCCAACAACACGTTCCAAAAGAGTTGGGACGGGGGCATGTTTACCACTGTGTTTCATCACCTCTTTTTTCTTTCAGTTTGTGAACTGAAGACCAACTGCTGCAGTTTTGAAAGTCATATGTTTTCCCATTCTTACTTAATATAGGATTTCAGCTGCTCAAGAGTTCAGGGTCTCCTTTGTTGTATTTTTCATTTCATAATGTGCCATATGTTTTCAATGGGTGACCTGTCTGGACTGCAGGCAGGCCAGTTTAGTACCCAGACTCTTTCAATACAGAGCTATGCTACTGTAATACATGCAGAATGTGGTTTGACACAATGTTTGTCTTGCTGAAATAAGCAAATACTTCCCTGAAAAAGACGTTGTCTGGATGGCAGCATATGTTGCCAAAACATACATATATTGTTCAACATTAATGGTGTCTTCACAGATGTGCACATCACCCATGCCTTATGCACTTGTGCACCGCTATACTATCATGAATACTGGCTTTTGAACTGTGCGCTGATAACAAGCTGAGTGGTCTTTAGCCCGGAGGACACAGTGTCTATGATTTCCAAAAAGAAATTCAAATGTTGATTCGTCAGACCACAGGACACTTTTCAACGTCACTTCAGTCCATTTTAAATGAGCTGGGGCCCAGAGAAGGTGGCAGGATTCCTGGATCCTGTTCATATTTGGTTTCTTCTTCGCGTTTTATAATTTTAACTTGCATTTGTGGATGCAGCAACAAACTGTTTTCACAGACAGTGGTTATCAGAAGTGTTTCTGAGCCCATGCAGTGATTTCCTTTATAGAATCATGTCCGTTTTTAATGCAGTGCCGCCTGAAGACCCAAAGATCACAGCCAGAAAATACAGTTTTTTGACCTTGTCCCTTTGTCTCTGCATTTTTTATTGTTATTATGTACTGTACATGATGAAAAGCAAAAGTTCTTTGCTATTTTACGTTGAGGAACGTTATTCTTGAATTGTTGCACTATTTGATCATGCAGTCTTTCACAGAGTGGTGAACCCCTCATCTTTACTTCTGAAAGACTCAGCCTCTCTGGTATGTTTTTTTTATACCTAATCATGTTACTGACCTGTTGGCAATCAACCACCAGGTGTTTTCTTTAGCGTTACACAGCTTTACCAACCTTTTGTTGCCCCCGTCCCAACTTTTTTTAAATAAATTAAAGTGTACTGTCAGTACTGCACACTGCGAAACACTCTTTCCATTCAGATTTGCCTTTTTGCATTTGACTTTTCACAAAGTGTCCTTGGAGTTAGTTTGTTCTTGCCTTAACTGTACACTTTTCAAACTGCAAGCACATGAAGTAATGCTAATGTAAGTATAACAAGTATTAGTAAAGTAAAGGCAAATACCATATAGAAATGTCAGTGCAGTGCCTAATAGTACATTCTTTAAAAAGATGGTTCTTCAAGGGTTCCTCAGTAAAGGAAATGGTTCTATATTCAATCATGAACACTCAAAGGACTAAATGGTTCTTTGCCTTGGAGAATGCATTGTATATGGTTCTATATGGAACATTTTTGAAACTGGCTCAATATAGTACCAAAAAGGGTTCTTCTATTGTCGTGATGTCAAGCTTGTAACAAAAGAGGAACCATTTTTGGTGCTACATAAAACCCTTTTCAAGAAGGTTTTATGTAGAACTATCAAAGGCATGTTCTCCATCAATCTGAAGAACCAGTTCACCATGCAAAGAACCCTTTAGAACCCTTAAAGAACCATATTTAGTCATATATGTATATATATATATATATATATATATTTCCTGAAAAATCTATAACTTGTACTTAATGGCCATTTTGACTGGAAATTAAACAAATTAAAGTGTACTCTCAGTACTGCACACCGCGAAACACTCTTTCCATTCAGATTAGCCTTTTTGCATTTGACTTTTCACAAAGTGTCCTTGGAGTTAGTTTAGTGGGTAGGGCTGTACATAGTGGTCCACTTGACATTTACTCTTGGTCAACGTGCTCGCTGCAGTCACTGGACGTACCTGCCAGCCGCTTTTGGAGGACCTTCTCATGGCCTTGGAACACTCTTTTTGATCATAAATGCACTAGATATTTGTAAAGCTCCTAAAGAAAATGATATATCTTGAACACTTGGGGGCAGTGTGGCATCAACATTAGGATTTCCAGCCAAACATTCCTTCTTGTCATTATCTGTCAGAGGCTGGTGCTAATGGGCTAGTCATTAAGCAAACCTCATTATTTTTATGAAGTCATTCTGATTGGATTTTTGTTCTTGACTGGAGTTGTATGACTCTGCTATCTGTGCCCTTCTTATCTAATTCAGATAACCCAGCTAAAAAGATGTCCTGCAAATTGCTTAAAGCACTTTTTATTGTAAAAAAAAAAGAACTTCAGGCCTCAAATTAGAGCCATTTTACTTCTCTTTAATACTGTAGGTTAGGTCTGTTGCACTTGTTGGATTTGTTTCTCAATATGTTTGGGTCATCATGGTTAAGTAGCCAAGCTAATTAGAGGTAGCCAAAAGCAGACGGTGGGAATGATCCTGTATTACACTGTTTTAATCCACCAAAGTAGCTTGCAAAGTGCTAAATGTTAAGGTGACATCACATTTACATCATGCTAACTCACCCCTACTAGGTTTCACTCGTGATTAGCAACATCTTTTTCCTGGATAAGTAGTTCTTTAACTTAGCATGATTACATTTAGATATTGCTAACTCACCTTTACTAGCTTTTACCCATAATTAGAAACCGTACTCTTTTAAAGTGAAGTAATCTTAAGTTAGCATGATCATATTTACATATTGCTAATTTGCCCCTTAGCTTTCACTCAGAATTAGCAACATCAACGTTTTAGGCAATCTTTTAGGTTAGCGTGATCATATTTACATATTGCTAACATGCTCTTATGAGCTTTTACTCATGATTAGAAACCTTACTCTTTTAGAGTGAGTTAGCATGATCATATTAACATAGCGCTAACTTGCTGCTACTAGCTTCACTCATATTGAACAACATCATCTTTTTAGGATAAGGCAATACTTTAGCTTGACAGCAACTCCATTTTGCTAACTAGTCCCTACTAGCTTTCACTTAAAATTAGCATCATCAGAGTTTTGTGGAGGTCCTTCAGGTTAGCATCATTATATTTATATTTTAACTCACCTCTGGATTTACTCATAATTAGCAACGTTACTGTTTTGGAAAGTAGTCTTTTAAAATTAGCATGATCACTCTTACATTATGCTGAGTCGCTCCTGAGAACTTTTGCTCATAATTAGCAACGTTTTAAGCTAAAGTAGTCTCTTAAGTTCGCATGACTACACGTCCATTTTAGTAAGTCACCCTTACCAGCTTTTACTCAAAACAAATAGCAACTTTGCTCTTTTGGGGTGAAGTAGTATATTAAGCTAGCCTGATCATATTTACCTAATGCTAACTTGCCCCTACTTGCTTTCACTCAAAATTAGCAACATCAGTGTTTTTGGCAGTTCTTTTGTTAGCATGATTATACTCACCTTTTACTCATGATTAGCAACATCAGTGTTTTTGGGTGAAGTGCTCTTTTAAACTAGCACGATGCTCAATCTCTCCTAATAGCTTTTGCTCACAAATAGCAACATCATCTTTTTAAGGTGAAGGTATACTTTGCATAACTATATTTACATGTTGGTAACTGTCCCCTTACTTTAAATCATAATTAGTGACATCACTGTTTTGGGGTGAAATAGTCTTTTAAGTTAGCATGATCATAGCCCTGATAGCAAGGGGATGATGGACACTTGTCGGCTTTGTCGTCAAAGCTGGCGGTCCAGCGGCGTTTTGCTCAGCATTTTCTGGGCGGTCCACCAGTGGTTTAGCAGAGTAATAGACAACTTACTAGTAATAGTCCACTTATCATTGCTCATTTTCAACTCACAGTCCAATTTACTTTTTTCCTTCTTTACTTCAGTTATACTTTGTAAATGAATAGTTTAGTAAATAATTTTAATCTAGCACAGAGTCAGCAACAACATTTTCTATAAAATCATTTTATATCAAGCCTAGTCATTATTATTTTTTTCTTTCACTTGTTTGTAATATTTGTTGAGGTTTATTTTCTAAAATAAAAGTCTGTGTGCATTTAAAATTTGTTAGGGGAGATAAAACAACTAGTCAGAGCTTGTATGCAGGACAGTAATCTGGGTGGTCCGAGGGTGGGCCAGCAGTGGCGTAGAGTTAGCGGGGTGCTGACCTTATCAAGCCAGCGGACCGATATATGCTCGCTATCTGGGAGATCATATTGCTCATAAGTTGTCCTTCCTATCTTTCACTCATAATTACCTACATCATTTTTTCTGTGGGTGAAGTTAGCCTGATTACATTTACATAACGCTAACTCACCCCTACTAGCTTTTACTCATAATTAGTGACATTAGCATTTTTGTGTGCAGTAGTCTTTTAGCTGATGGGCAGCTATCAGCTTGATCATGGAAAGATTACTGAGGTCTAAATGAGGCCATAATTACTCTGTAGTAGATCACCACTCTGTTTCTTCAGGCCTCAGTGAAAGACTTGTTGATGAGTCAGAATCAGGCTGTTCTTAGTGGTTTTCTGTTTATTGTAATGAATAGTAACTTAGTGTTGATCCAGATGTACTGTACGGAACCCTGCGGGCTCTGGATTATCATCTGTACCACATCGTCAAACTTCTGTTTCAGTCGTTATCTGGCTCGAACAGCTCAGCAGTCTTTTTATGTGGGGTGGTTGGGGAGATGCTAAGATGCGCTAGCGAAGCAGGTCAGCTGCCTCAAGCGCTTCCTGGAACTGTGTGATCTCTTTTTATTTCGTCTGAGACTTGTTGTTAATTTGTGTCCTCGAGTCAGGGAAACGTTTTTATGTGCGTTCTCTGGGTCGAGCATGTCGAACAGCGAGAGTCGAGTCAACTTGCAGGGTAATTTATGCTATGTTCACATTACAGGGTTGAAATATCTTTCAGTGAAGTAGATCAGATCAATTTTTTCTGATTTTTTGAAAAATAACACATAACAAAAAGTGGTCAGCAGTGGGATGGATCATGTGTCCAGAGCCATTGTTCCCACCACCAGAGACTTTCTCAAGGCCACACAGGGCCAGTGGGGTCAAAGACCCTCTCAGACGAATGGCACTATGTGACCATTTGTAAAAGGCTACGTTCACACTACAATTCAGATTTTTTTGCCTAAATGTGACACAGGTGTGATTTTCCGAGCAAATCACAAATATGAAAAATCACACTCAAGCCGCTTTCATATGTGCTCCTAATTTGGATATATACCCATATGGCAGTAAATCATTTAAAATGGGATTAAGTTTAGTAGTGTGAACGCAGCCTTATTGCACAATTTCGATTTTTTTCTCAAATCTGATCTTTCTGCCGTAATGGTTCACATTTGTGTGTAGTGACCCATACCTGCCATTAGTGTGTGCACCCTGAAATGACCCACATGTGCACATTTTATCATCAAGTTACAGCAGGTGCTGACCCGCTGCCCACAAAGGATGCTGACCACAGTTATGCACAGAGAAGTGTGTATGTGTGAAGTGTGGGTCCACACCAAATGTTCAGTCTTAGAAGTTGGTTGCAATTTCTGTTCTCACGATCCAAATAATCCCAAACACATTCAGAGATGTTGAGGTCTGGACTATGGGGTGGTCAGTCCATTGTTCTGAGAACACCAGCAGCTCCTTTGTTTGATGTGTCTCTTTCCTTTTCTTACTGAGGCTTCTTGACAGCTACACATCCTTCCAGACCCATAGCGCTGAGTTGTCTTCTCACAGAAACAATCTGAATCACTGTAGTGTGAACGTAGCCTTGGACTAATTCCATTGGCGTTCCTCTAAGTGTGGTCAGTGGCCTCGAGCCTTCGACCCTGCTGGGTCTGTGCGGCTTTGTGAAGGTCTCTAATGGGTCACTGGCTCCGCACCAGTGATCCATCCCACCACTGACTACTCTATCTCTGATTAGTCTGAATAATGAACTGGCAGCCATAGGGGGTCTCGTCTGGGGCTAATAAAAAATACATCTAGCTGCAGGACAGAGCAGACGCCACCCCGTCTGAGTGACCTGGTCACTCTGGGCATGTGTATCCATGCGTACTCCTCTGACCACCCCCCCACCGCTCCGCCACTCTGCCTCTTCTGTTTACGATTTATTTTTTAGTCCCTCCCTTTGATCCTTTTCTTTGCTCTCTTGCTTTTCTCAGTCGGTTCGGTCTCTGTTGGGCTTCTTTAAACCACTCTTGTTTCCCAAAATCCCTCATTATCCCCCCTCCTCTCTCAGGCATTTCCCTCCTGTCCCCCGCTTCCCTTCCCTTCTCAGCCCCCCCAACTCTCTCTCTCTCTTTCTCTCTCTCTCTCTCTCTCTGTGCCTCCTCGTCTCCTCAGATGGATTCTTCAGTCCTCAGTCGGTGGGCTGGAACTGCAGGCAGCGGCTGCTGGAGGAGTCCAGAGTGAGAGAGAGAGAGAGAGAGAGATAGAGAGAGAGAGAAAGAGAGAGAGAGAGAGAGAGTGAATGAGAGGGAGAGAGAGGGAGAGAGAGAGTGGAGAGATAGAGAGACAGAGAGGAGAGTGGGGATAGAGAGAGAGAGGATAAAGAGGGAGGGGGGAGAGAGAGAAAGAGAGAGAGAGAGTGAAAGAGAGCGGGTGGAGGGGCTCGAGCTGCGTCTGGGTCAGCGTGGTCTGTCATCTCACACAATCAAAAGCGCGACAGCGAAGGGGCGAGAGAGAGGAGAGAAAGAGAGAGAGGAGAGAGAGAGATAGAGGGAGTGAGTGAAAGAGAGATACAGAGGAGAGAGAGAGAGAGAGAGAGTAGTGAGAGAGAGAGAGAGAGAGAGAGAGAGAGAGAGAGAGAGAGAGAGATACAGAGGAGAGAAAGAGAGAGAGAAAGAGAGAGAGGGAGTGAGTGAGAGAGAGAGAGAGATACAGAGGAGAGAAAAAGAGAGAGAGAGAGAGAGAGAGAGAGGTAGATATGTCAGAGGATGTGGTTTTCCTGAGCTTGCAGAACACACTGCGCGCAGGCATAGTTTGAGCATGACCTAAACACGAGCGCGCGCGAGGAAAGTGCGTTCTCGCTACGCTTTCAGCTTCCCAACCGATTCCGAGCGGGATTTTAAAGAAGAGCGCGAGCCTGGCTTCCCTCGCTCCCGCCGCCTCCTTCTCCTCCTCAGCTCTCCGCACAGCCGCAGCCTCGCGACTCCGCGCAGGAAGCGCGCGGGAACCTTTTTCGCGCGGAGGCTTTTTTTCCGAAAGCGCGTCACTCGCGCCGTTCATGCGTTTGACAGCAGAGACGCTCCGCTGATCCGCGAGCCCAACTTCCAGCACCTGCGGGGTCCACAGCCCCCCAACAGGTAACACTGCTCTGCCTCCTCCGTCTGTCTGTCTGTCTGTCTGTCTCGCGCTCTCGGTGACTCACTTTCTGAACGTTCACGCGGAGCCTTTTGCTGGTTTGTTTTTCGTGCAGTTCTTTTTTCAGAAGATCGTTTAAGAACAAGTTTTATCCACAGAGCTGATCTCGCTGCACACAGCACTGATTATATTAACTAAGAATATCTGTTGTTATTGTGATTAATTATACATTAATAATAATTCACAATATATTTTATTATTTATTTATAATCTGTATTATTATTATTATTATTATTAGGACACTTTATTTTGATGGTCCACTGTCAGATGTCTGTAAATTCACTTTTACTTAAACCCAAACCTAACACTCACTCTAAACCTAAACTTAAACCTAACATCCAAATAAAAAAATAAATAAATAATTAAATCATAATGGCCACCTACACCTAAAACTCACTCTAGCCCGAATCTAATCTAACCTAACCTTAAAACTCAAAACCTAAACCGTAAACTCAACATTCACTCTAACACTAACCTTAAACCTCAACTTTTAATGTAAACCTAAACACTAACCCTTATTCTATCCACAAACCCAACTCTCAGTCTACCTGTAACCTTAGGCCTAAACCTCAAAGCTCCTTAAACCTAATACTCACCCTTACTTTATTCATAAACCCAACATTCACTCTACCCTTAAGCTTAAACCTAACACTCCCTCTAACCTTAAACCTAAACCTAACACTCACTCTAACCCCAAACGTTAAACCTTAAACCTAACACTCTAAACCTAACCCTAACCTTAAAACTAACACACGCTCTAACCTTAAACCTAAACCTAACACAAGCCTAACTTCGACATCAACCTTAAACATGACCCTAAACCCTTAACACTTACTCTAACACTAACCTTAACCTTAACCCAAAACCTAAACTTAGACCTAACACTAACCCAAACCTTAAACCTAAACCTCATTAAACTTAACATAAACTCAAACATTAACCTTAAACCTCAACAACATTTGCCGTAAACTTAGCCTTAACTAGACCCAACTCTAATCCTAATCTTAACTCTACTAATCAGTGTTTTGTTAACAGTTTGACTATTTGTACAGAAGATACATGAGACCATCAAAATAAACTGAATCATCATTATTATTATTATTATTATTATTATTATTAAGCAGTGGAGCTGATAAGGGCTACGCCTGTGGCCCTCATGGTTGTGCCAGTGATCTATCATGGCTAGCCACAAGCCACAGGTCTTCCACTGTGTGCAAAGGTTGTACAGCAGGGCTCCTGCAGGTTAGTTCACGAAGTACACTGTTCTCAGTTAGCCTGGTCCTGCTGGTCCTGGTCCTGGCCCTGGTCCCTGGTCCTGGCCCTGGTCCTGGTCCTGGAGCGATCTGCACATCTCAGTGTTTCTGGCTCATGGTGATGTCACAACTCTTAAACTCAAGTAACATGGCATCTGTCTGAGTTTACAACCTGTATTTATGACTGTGTCAGCCATCTGAGCCCAACTTACTCATCATATACAAATGCAGCAAATAGAGGTTTTGTTGACTGATGCTCAGGACTGTCCAGTAGGAGCAGACGTGATGGACATGCGGCAACTTTTGGCTTGTCTAGCTAACTGAGATCCTCCTACCCCCCCAGATACACTCACAAACAGACACATCACACAGCCCAGCAGATTTGCTGCGAGTCACATGTGCAAAGCATGATCTGGAAGGCATCTGTGAGAGAAGCCGGACGTCTTGTCTACCTGACTCCGCTGCTTGACCTCTTGCTCGTCCTCTTTTTTCCTTCTCTTTCTAGAAGATCACACATGCCTTTCATGTCAAGTTTGCCCTCATAACAAGAAAACAATTGCAGGCCCAGAGTGCAACAGAGAGAGAGAGCGAGCGGGAGAGAGAGAGCAATACAAAGAAGTATGTTCTTAAAGGGGAATTCCACAGATTTTTCAAAATTTCCGCATAATTCAGTCGTTGTTAAGGAAATCATTCAGAGTGGTTTGATGTAAAATGTTTCACTGTAGGGAAGCTTACTGACTCAGATTTTACAGTGGTGGTGATGAGAACCAGGGGTCACCATGACTACAACACAAATATAGGCATTTTATTTACTATCCAAAATAACCAGTGAACTCTTCTGAGTTTTATATGTAATGTTGGGCCTATTTTGCCTTACAAAGCCCTGCATGTACCTCACCATCATGATGGTGATGAGGATTTGATTTAATCTCAAAACCATGTCTCAGATCTATTATAAAGCAATGTCTCAGTCATCAGGCAGTGCATTCATAACTATTTAATGTAATAACTTTCTGTGAGGGGACTTTTAGAGGTGGGCGTCTGGTTCCTATCGCCACCACTGTGAACAATTCTGACTGTAAGTATGTCTAGAACAGGGCATTTCACCAAACCATGCTGAATGACTTTATTTACATTCTGACCATTAAATTATGTAGAAATTTCGAAAAATGGTTGGAATTTCCCTTTAAAAATAAAGAATACAGTTTTATGGAACATTTACATTGAAGTCTTTAAAAATATCTAATTTACAAAAATGTTTTTATTAAAGAACTGCCCATTGAACACCATTAAGGGTTCTACAGTGGGTTCTTCAAGGGTTCTTTAGTAAAAGCAATGGTTATATATAGAACTATTAGAGCTGAAAGAACCAGTTTACTTCTCAAAGTGTTCTCTGCATGGTCATATGGCTCCTCTACATAATAGAGAACCTGTTGTTATAGACCTTTAATATACATTTAATACACCTTTAATATATGTCTTATATACCTATATATCTTTAAAGAACATTAAAGGGCCCATAGCCTCCTGTTTTTGGTATTTCCTATTTTTCCATTTATAACTTTTGTGTAGGTTTATAAACAGTCCATCGAACATCTTTAAGGGTTCTTCAAGGGTTCTTTGGCAAAGGCAATTGTTATATATAGAACTATTAGAACCGAAAGAACCAGTTTACTTCTTCAAGTGTTCTCTGCATGGTCATATGGTTCCTCTCCATAATGGAGAACCTGTTGTTGTATACATTTAATATACCTTTAATATACTTCTTATATACCTATATATCTTTAAAGGACATTAAAGGACCCATAGCCTCCCTTTTTGGTATTTCGTATTTTTCCATTTATAACTTTTGTGTGGATTTATAAACCAAAAACGTTGTATGTAAAAGTTTTGGCACCCCCAGTCAAATGTTATGTTTTGTTGATGTTCTAGGTGAAAATAAGTTACCACATCCTCTACACTCTCAGAAAAAAAAGGTACGAGACTGTCACTGTGGTGGTTCCCCTCAAGGGTACATTTTAGTACTTTTAGTCAGGGAACATAACTGTACCATAATCCACTGTTATGTTTTCTAAGTTGTACTGACTCCACACGCCCCGTCTCGTCTCCAGGCTTTTCATTTCACCGTTCGGTTTTAAAACATTAGGTTATGAAAATGTAAAAAATGTGTACTTTTCACTTGGAAGAAACATATTTAAGGTACACTGGACCTTAAAACCACTGTTGTGCCTTTGAGGGAACATTTACATTGTTTGTACCTTAATAAATAAAAAATGTATCTGCACAGAACATTTGTTTCTAACAGTGTACAGTGAACACACTGACAACTTATTTTCACTTAGAAAATCAACAAAACATTTGAATATGGATGTTTAAACTTTTGCATACAACTGTATGTAAATGATCTCTAAACTGACTGGCTGCCCTGTATTGTGCCTGGTTTGAAAAGCAGTCTAAGATACAATCTGTATAGATTGTATTGAGTGAATGGTACATTTTTAATCTAAAGAGTGTTTATGTACTATTTCAAACTCTTGTTTCAAACATATAAGGAAGTCCGTTTTCCACAATATGAGCCCTTTAAAAAGATTCTATACAGCTTTAAAAAGGGCACTGCTATTGTAACAAACCTTCTTTGAATCATTTTTGCTAGGAGTGAGAGGTTCTTTAGGGAATCAAAGTGTTTCTTCTACAGAAACGCTCTATTTTTGGCAGCTTTATTTTTATTGTGTTTAAGAAAGAGGAAGAAAACAGAGAAATGTGGGGCAATGGAAGAAAATAGAGGGGGGTAAACTGTCATTAATCAGTTCCAGCGGCTGCCTATGAGGCAGACAGTGTTTGGCCATGCTGGGCCATGTGCCTCAGGAGAACTCACACAGAGGATTCGTTGTCACTGTGGAATCTGGAACATCGAGAGCTACTGGGCACCACCGGCTCCTCAGCGTCCGCCTAACTGCGTCAACTTAAAGCAATCATTTGACTAAAAATCAAATTTGCACAACTCCCCTTTTTGCCCCAAAAGTAATCAATCAGCCAGGACATGTTTGGTGCCCGAAGTCTGCTTAATTGGTTTTGTACTGGAGCTGTGAGGCTAATGTAGCTAACAAGTGATAGAAGCTTGTAGCCACTAGTTTAGCACTGTGTGAACTGCAGCCTCATTCATCACACATTAGCCTCAAACTGCAACAAAAAAACTTACATAATCTTAAATGGACTTGATTGTGTTGTTTCTCAAAGAAATCACGTACGCTGGTTTATTTGTGATTACGCAACAAGCATGATCTGCTTTGGCCAAACTTTATTGTTATTTAGCTCCCCTGAACTTTTACCAACTGGCCACTTTATTAGAAACACCTACATGGACTTCTACTCACTGGCCACTTTTTTAGAAACACCTACCTTGTACTTCCACTCACTGGCCACTTTACTAAAAACACCCACCTTGTACTTCCACTGACTGGCCACTTTATTAGAAACACCCACCTTGTACTTCCACTGACTGGCCACTTTATTAGAAACACCCACCTTGTACTTCCACTGACTGGCCACTTTATTAGAAACACCTACCTTGTACTTCCACTGACTGGCCACTTTATTAGAAACACCTACCTTGTACTTCCACTGACTGGCCACTTTATTAGAAACACCTACCTTGTACTTCCACTGACTGGCCACTTTATTAGAAACAC